AACCACAGAAATTATACAAACACATAGAAATTAAACAATACTTCCTTGAAGCAACAATGGTCACAGAAAATAATCAAGGAAGAAACTAGACAATTACTAGAGTCTAGCAATAATGCCAGTATAACATAGCAGAACCTATGGGACACAATGAAAGTAGGGCTAAGAAGGAAGCTTATTGCTATGAATGCTCAACCAGAACAACAGAGGAAGTCCAAATAAATAACATGATAATGGATCCTAAGGTCCTAGAAAAACAACACTAATCCCAATCCAAAGCTAGTAGAAGGAAGGAGATTATAAAGATCAGAATACAAATTATTGAAATTGAGACTAAAAAAATTCAAAGAATCAATTAATCAAAGACCTGGTTCTTTTTAAGAATAAATAGAATAGACAAACCCTTAGTCAATCTTATCAAAAAAGGAAGGAAAAAGATCCAAATTAATGCAGTTAGAAATGAAAAGGTAAAATCACAGATGACTCTGCTGAAATCTGGAAGATTATTAGTAACTACTTGGAGAATCTGTATTCTAATAAAATAGAGAATTCAGAAGAAATAGATACATATTAAGTACAAAGGGTAAATCAAGACAACATAAAAACCCTGAATTCCAACATCAGACAATGAGATTGAAAAAGTAAAAGAAACAACAAACAAACAAAAACAACCAACCAAGAAAAGACCTGTTGGATTCACTCCCATATTCTTAGGAACTTTAGGAAGATCAAACACTAATATTTCTCAAACTGTTTAAGGAAATTGAAAGAGAAGAGTTCTCCCAAAGTCATTACTGGAATCCAGAATGACCCTGATTCCAAAACCAGAAAGGACCCAAACAAACAAGACAACTATACATCATTTAGTTTAATAAACACTGTTACAAAAACACCCAACAAAAACTGGTAAACAAGTTGCATCAAATAAAAAAAAAAGACCATACATTATGACCAAGTAGGAATCATCTGCAGCATGCAAGGTTGGTTCAACATAAACAAACCAAGAAATGTAATACATCACATAATGAGAAGCAAGGAAATATCACATGATCACCCCAATTGACTTAGAAAAATCTTTTGACAAAATCCAATATCCATTTGTATAAGACCCCTGAAGAAAAAGGTAGAGAAAGACTGCATCTCATATATATCCTTCCTTCTTTCTTTCTTTCCTCCTTTTCATCACCCCAGTTCTTTCTTTTGAGCAGTTTTTTTCCCTTTCATAATATCTATTGTACTTTTTGGATTTTGCTTATTCTTTCAATTTCTTATACTGGGGGGACAATATGATGTTTACACATAAGGTAGCTACAATAATTGTACTACTTATTTCTGCTGGTTTATTGAAATGAACAGTTAATGCTTAATTTTCTTTCTTTCTTAATTTGTTGACCAATTTTACATGTTCATATCTGGTAATCTGAACAACTACTTTGAAGGTAACAATATGCAGTGTAATAAACATTATTGTTGATTTTCTATCATGGTTTGAAATTCTGTATCATTTCTAATGTTTTTTAATTTTTATTCTCTTTAAAGTAAAAAAGGAATTTCTTTTATAAAAAAGGATTGCATCTAAATCCCATAAAAGCCATTTATGACAAAACAGTGGCTGACATCATATTATGAGGGGCTGAAAGCTTTCATTCTAAAATCAGGAACGTGACAAGGATGTCTGCTAACATCACTAGCATTCCTATAGTTCTCAAAACATTACCCAGGACATTAAGGCAACAGAAAGAAATAAAAGGATTACAGATAGGAAAGGAAGAAGTCAAATTGTCATTATTTGCAGATGACAGGAGCCTCTACATAGAAGACCCAAAGCTTCCATCAAAAGACTCCTAGAATTAATAACCAACTTCAGTATCATAGCAGCATACAAAGTCAACAAAAAAAATAAGTAGTTTCTATGCAACAATAATAATTTTACCTGGAAAGTAATTAAGGAAATAATACCTTTTACAATTGCATCAAGAAAAATTAAATACCTAGGAATTAACATAACTGAAAAATGAAAGATCTCTATAATAAAAACTACAGTACTCTGAAAAGGGAGATCTAAGAGAACATCAAATAGTAGAAAGATATTCCCTGTTCTTGGATAGGCAGATCCTGTACAGTCAAAATGGCCATAATTCCAAAACTGATAGATTTATTGCAAGCCCAATAAAAACACTAACAACATTCCTTACAGAAATAGAAAAAATATTTCTAAAACTCTTATGGAACTAGAAGAAAAAATGGACTAGTAAAAGCAATTCTGGGAAACCAGAACAAGGCAGGAAGAGTCATAAGTTCTGATTTCAAGTTATACTGCAAAGCTGTAGTGATAAAATAGCACGATACTTACAAAATACATTTGTACATCAATGGAATAGAGTAGGTGATGTAGAAACAACCCCAGGCACATAGAGCTACTAGATCCTTGACAAAGGGGACAAAGTTAGGCTAGAGCAAAGGTAGCGTCTTTATTTTTTAAATTTTAAAAAATTAATTGTATTGATACTCTTTTGATATACATATTGATGACATTCATAATAGGGAATTTGTAACTGTACATAATATACCTTTCTTCTTATTTTTTCCACATTCTTTCCCTTTTTTTCTCATCCTTATTTTAAAAAGCTTTGTTTCCATTTTTCCCTTCTATTTTTTCCTTTTCCTTTCCTTCACTTCTCCCTCCTCCACCTCTTTTGTTCCCCTTCCCATTTGAACATTTTCTTCCTAGTTTCTAAAATCTATCACCCATTTGTAGCCAACGCTGGCCTCAAACTCGAGGTGATCTTCCTGCCACAGCCCCATGAGTACTGGGATTACAGGTGTGTGACACCACATCTGGCTTTCAAGGGTCATTGATTAAGGAGGCTATCTTCTCTTTAATAAAATTGAAATGGATCAAAATCTAAACATTAAGACAGAAACAATCTACTAGAAGATAAAACATGTAAAACTCTTGAAGACATATGTGTAAGCAAAGACTTTATGAATAAAACCTTGATTGCACAGGAAATATTGCAAAGAATCAACATCCAGGATCTCATCAAATTAAAAAGTTTTTGCACAGCAAAGGAAACCATCAACAGAGTGAAGAGACAACTGACAGGATGGTAAATAATTGTTTTTTAATCAGAGTATATCGGTACATTTTAGATATATACAATGATCACATTTGGGGAATAATTTTACCAGGTGTTCCTCAGACAAAGGACTAGAATCTAGAATACATAAAGAACTCAAATGAATCAGATACCAGAAATTTAAAGACCCAATAGAAAAACTGGGATCTGAAATGAATAGACACTTCTCAGATGAAGCAGTACAAAGACCAAATAAAAAAAAGTATTCCACATCACTGGTCATTTGAGAGATGCCTGAGTTCAAGGCCAGACTGAACTACGTAGATTTTGTTTCAAAAAACCAAAATAAAATGTATAGCCTTGGAAAACTGCCTATCCACAAGACTGAATCTAGACCTATATTTCCTACCATGTTGTAAACTAAAGTTAAAATGGCTCAAAGATCTAAGTCTTAGAAACACTTAATCTGCTGGAAGATAAAGCAGCTACAACTCTTGAAGAAACAGGTACAGGCAAGGACTTTCTGAACAGAGCCCCAGTTTCATAAAAGATAACACCAAGAACTAACAAATGGGATCATTTCAAATTAAAATGGTTCTCCACAGCAAAGGAAATAACCAACAGTGTGAAGATACAATCTACAGAATGGAAAAAAATGCTAGTATTATTCGTTGGACAGTGGACAAATGTCTAGAATATATAAAGAAGTCCAAACAAATTAGGTAATCAAAATAAAAGACCTAATCAAAAAATGGGCAAGTATAGTGAACAGACACTTCTGAGAAGAAGAAATACAAGTAGCCAATAAATACAGTGGTACCTCAGTTCACAAATTTTTTCTATGGTTTTAGAATGTTATTCTCTAAAACATTCTCTAAAACATTTTTTCTATGATTTTGGAAAAGATCGCTGAGGTTGTGTTTGTCACCCAATGCAGAGTTTGCAAACAAAAACATATTTTTGCCAAATACTTGTTTGTGAGCCAAATTATTTGTAAAGAAAAGCATTTGTGAACCAAGGTACCAATATACATGAAAAATGTTCTAGAGACCAGATGTCTGGAGTCAAAGTCTCACAGGGCCAGGCTTTACCTGAAGGCTCTACAGAAGAATTTTTCCTCATCTCTCAGCTTCTTGCGCTTGACAGCAGTCCTTGGTGTTGCCTGACTCACAGTTGCTACACTTCCATCTCTGCCTTGCTTGTCACACGGCCTTTCCAGTTTGGTAACCGTGTCTGTTCTCCTTTTGAAAGGACACCAGCCACAGAGCATCAAATGTCCACCCCATTCCAGTATGATCTCAACTAATATTTGTAATGACCTTGTTTTCAAAGTGTTCACTTTTGGAGGGAGTGGCAGTGCTGGAATGGATAGGTGAGGCTTTTCGGAAATGGCTGGATCTAGGGTGTGCGATGCTAGAACCAAAGATGCCATGCTAGTATTAAGGGTGTGAGCACTACCCACCGTGCATTTGGGTAGTGTGGATAAGATATAAAGGACAGAAAGCTATATATTATTGGCCTTTGAGGACACACACACTTGGTGCTTCTTTTCTTTTGTTATTCTCTAAAACATAGGACAGAGATTTATATTCTACGCTGACCCTCAGAATCTTGAAGTCCAGAGTCTTGAAGTCTAGAGTCTTGAAGTCTAGAATCTCCAGTGTGTGCTGGCTGCGGAGGCTGTGGCTCTTGAAGTCTTCTAGAGTACCTTGTCAATGAACACTTACAGAAAAATGGAATAAATTAATAAGCGGATGAACGAATGTATGATCGAACAAGTAAGGAACCAACAACGAAAGAGGTAGAAGTGGTACAGGGAAGCCACCGAAGAAGGCTGGGGTGGTGTACTTCGAGCTTGTCCCACCAGGTGGCGCTGCAGGCGGCGGGCCCGATTGGATAGGCGGGCCGAGCCGCTCTTGCCGTCAGCGCTGGCGGCGCCGCCGAGGACAGGCGTGGGGGTTAGGGCGAGTCATATGACCCGCTCGGCTTCCTGGCTCCGGCCGCCGCCGCCCGCCCGCGTCTGCCCGCGCCGCTCCGGGGCTCTCAAGAGCCGTTAAGGGGTCCAGGCCGAGGCTCGGTGGTGTGGAAGTCGTCGCCGGCGCCGCGTGCCCGCCCGCCCCTGCGTCCTCTGTGCAGGCCGTCACCATGCTGGCGCTCATCTCCCGCCTGCTGGACTGGTTCCGCTCGCTCTTCTGGAAGGAGGAGATGGAGCTCACGCTCGTGGGGCTGCAGTACTCGGGCAAGACCACCTTCGTCAA